AATAATAAATATAGATTTAAATGATTTACTTCAAACGATGAAGATGTTATTTCATCGAATACATTATCATACAACATAGAACATTGTTTAGATTCATTTTGAAGATTAACATCATCGGATAACGATAATAAATCATCAAAATCAAATGACGACATATTATTTCAATATTGATTATTTGATATTATCGGTCGTTATGTTCAATATCTATAATATTTTATATTAATAGAATTTTTCGAGAAAAATTTTTATACTATTTCGTTTTATATTCGAACCCTTTAACAGATTTTTTTTTTATTGTTACATTTGCTATGTAAACAATTCTCTTTCTCTCGTTTTTTTTTTTTTTTGTTTCTTTGATTTTACAATTTTTGATGATTTTATTCAAACAACAACGAACAAATAGATGTTTTCTGTTTAGTTACATTTGAAAGTTTTCTTCCAAAAATAAAAAATAATTGTATTTTAAATAAAGAAACTAAAATATTTGAACTTACGCAGAAATCAATTTTATTTTTGTTTTGTTTGGTTATATTCCTATATGACTACTAGACAGAATAGAAAACTCGTCGTACTTTTTTTTGTTCTTTCTTTAGGCATTGTCGATTAATAAATTTAAATAGAATCCTATATGAGAGTAGAAAAAAACAAAAAAAGAAAAAGAAAGACATGATTTTTTTTCTCTTCACATAATCTGCCCTTTGCATAAACAATTTTCTTCTTCGAGGGAAAAAAATGTAGTCATGTTTGTTATTTTTTATAGAAACGTAAATCAATGACTCATCCAAAAAAAGAAACTGAGAAGCCTAATAGATGATTATCAATAACATTATTAAAACAAAAAATTTCATGTATACAGAAATTAGAATGATTATATTTTCTAATCGATATTAAACATTTGCATAATAATATGATAAAAATAAAAACGAATGATTATATAACATGTAGGTGAAAAGATGATGGTAGGAAATCGATCAAATTTAGTATCATATGGCCTATTATGTAAAGCATTAGATTAGTGGCGTATCCAAAGAGGGGGGGGGGGCAGAGGGAGCGACGCTCTCCCACCTGAGGTTTTTGCCCCCCACCGATAAGAAAAAGTACTAAATAAATGTACAGAGAGTCTTTGAAAACAATGGGACACCGTCTCGAAAAATGGGGTTTTGCTCCCCCACTGGCGATTTCCTGATCACGCCACTACATTAGACATGATGTATACTACTTTACTCATAATTATTATGTGCGTAAAACTATTGATTTAAACAGAAAATAAATGAGACATATTAGTCGTATGATTTCTAACTGATATGGAAATCTATTGAGGGTTTAAGAACTTATTAGTTGATCTAAAAATTTTTGCATTGATATAGATTTTAGTTGAAATTCTTTGTATGAAAAGTTTCTGCAATTTTGAACATCATACATATATTGTACTTTAATATAAAATATAGATTTTAGAAAATTGAATATCGTGTAGATGAAAGAAATTTTCATATAGTCATAATCTAATTGAGATCTATATTTATGAAATGATTGTTGAGTTTTAACATATTTTTTTTTTGAATTCGTTTTATGGAACTTTGCCAACATATGAATCATATTTTGTTTATTTGTAGAAAGACAAAAAAACAAAAATGCACATTTTAAGTACACTAACCTTTTTCTTTTTTTATTACGGTTGATGACTCAAATCTTTTTTTTTTCTCCCTCCTTTAACAGAACATTTCACAATTATTCGAAGAAGCTTTATTGTAGCCAATGATGTTTTTTTTTTGAAAGAGCATATGGAGATGCATTGCATGACAAAGTCTAATTTTTTTTTAATGTATTAAGCTTATTTTTTTAATATATAAAAATAAAAAGCATCTCAATTTGAGTGTCTCAAGATGCTTAACATGTGTTTTTATGTTTTTTTCTGGATGAAAAGTATGAATTAGAAAAAAAAAACAGAAGATTTTCTTGAATGATACATTTTGACATGTTTTTACAAATAAAAGAAAATAGGAACATTGTAATTATCAAAATTAACTAACTAGAAAATAATTTAATTATATTCTTTTGAAATTTCAAATTCTCAATGAGCTATTGTTCGTTTTAAAATGTAATGCACTTTACTAGTTTTGTAATAACTCAAGAACCGAAAGGTCTGAAGAGTTGCGGTTTTCACTAGTCGATAGAAGAGATATGGCGACGCCTCTTTTTCTGCAATATTGTACAAGATGAAATCATTTTAAAATGAAACCGTTTTTTTTTTGTATAAGACATCGAAAGAATGTACAAAAATGATCCCTTACTTTGATGAAATTTCGATAAATAATAAGAAATATTTACTGCAAAAAATTAAGCGAAATCTATATTTTTCGAAGGAATAAATATACAATTTGATTTGCTTAATATTAGGATGTGTGAAGATAAACATTTGAATTATATCTTGTCTTATAGAACCGAAGTTCCTCTATCCAATGTGCCACAGCGTTACATTTTTCTTTCTGACTTTTTACGCGAAAACAAATTGCTGGAGGAAAATCTTTTTTTTACCGTTGAAAAGCTCGTTTCACATTCTACAACATTGACTCGAGAATTATTTAAGCTGAAAGTTGTCTTTCACAAGAAATTGAAACTTTAACGAGAACTCTAAAAATTCAGAGTCCTTTTTTTTGTCACAGAGTTACGCAACCATAAACTCTTTCTGTGAGCTGAAGACTTCAACCAAAAAAGTCATTTTTATAGCATCAATACGAGCACGACGAGATGCGTCGAACAGCGTTTGAATGAACTTTCTAACCATCATAGTTTTTGAGATAACCCGACAAACCCGTGTTAAAAGTGTCACAGCATTATGCTTGGACAAGTCGATAGATAGAATATTTCAAGCAATTTTTAATGCTATTGCTAATGATATATTTAATAATAGTGTTTTTTTTGTTGTCGTTTTGTTATTGATAATTTCCGATATGCATCAACAACAAAAAAAAAACAAGTGATTAAATCTTTACTTAAAAGATGAAAACGAACATGCTATGATTGTATCATAAATTAAAATTTGAACAGAATAATAGATTAATTTAAAATTTTTTATTAATACACTAAAATCTATAGATTATAATCTGTTAAATATTCTAGAATTCTCTCTTTTTTACTATTGTTAAGACTGACATCTGTAGTTAATAATTATTATAGGTATTCTTGAATATAAACTGAATCATAAATAGCAATCATCATCTATTCCATTGAGTTAAATTCTCAATAAAAAATTAAAATAATGTTAACATTACCTATTTCATTATCATCACCTATTGTAATTAGTATTAGTATTTTAACAGCTATTGGTGTTTATGTTTTATTTGGACCTGAACCACAAGATAGACGAAAACGTGGTTTGTTATATATATAATTCCATAAAATTTTTCTAAATTTTATTTCATTAGGTTATCCCGGTGGTTTAATTAATTATGGAAATAATTGTTTTGCTAATGCTATTGTACAATGTTTAGCATCATCATTAATATTTATACAATGGCTTGAAAAACATATTGAAAATAATAAATTAACAAATATTCTTCTTAATCTTATTAAATCTATAAATAATCAAACATTAATTACAAATTCCCAAGAATCAAATGTTGCAACATTAATTGATTATATGCAACAACCAAAATGGTTAACTCCATTTGAACAACAAGATAGTCATGAATTTTTAATATCACTTATTAATTCATTAACAACTATAAATAGATTAGAAACAAAACAATTAGGTTTTGCTTCATGTCTTGATACAAATGAACAAGATATATCAAAAATAATAATGATAAATGAAAGTCCATTAATAAATCCACATCCATTTCAAGGTTTACAAGCAACACAATTACAATGTACAGAATGTAAACATAAAGTAAAGATAATTTTTTTTCGAAATTAAATTTTATTTCTTAATTTATTTTTTATAGAATCCTATAAGTGTTTCTCTTTTTGAAACATTATCATTAATGATTCCTGAACGTCATGTATCAAATGTAGGAATAGAATTTTCTATTTAAATTTTTATATTTTTTTTTGTTAAAGTTATTATTAATACGACAACAACGAAATTTTACATTACAAGAATTAATTGGTAATTATCTTAAAACTGAAATGATTAGTAATTTAATATGTAATAAATGTAAATCAAATAAAAATTTATTACATAAAAAAATAACAACTTTTTCTCGAGTAATTATTAATTTGAATCAATAAAAAAAATCTTTTTCTTTAATAATTTTTTTTTTCTAGTTACCAGAAATTCTTTGTTTACATATTATTCGTACAACATGGACAAATGAAGGTTTACCTATGAAAAATACTTGTCATATATCATTTCCTGATATACTTGATATGAATGCATTTATATCATTATCACGTTTATTACCTACTAATATACATCCAACTCAAATAATTAAAAAACCATTAACAGCTATTTATAAACTTAATTCTGTACTTGTACATTTAGGTGGTATTAGTGAAGCTGGACATTTTATTGTTTATAGACGACGAATAAATAGTAATCAATGGTTTTCAATATCGGATGATCATATAAGAGAATGTAGTGAACTTGAAGTATTTACTTCAATGGCATATATTTTGTTTTATGAAAGAATAAAAAAAATAACATGAATAAAAATTTCTTATAATTAAATATATAAATGGTGAATAAATAGATTATTGATCTTAGATTAAAAAAAAGAGTGTTGTCCTTGATCGAAGAGATTCCTTTTGTTAATTCTCAAGATTTATTTATGTTTAAAAAAAAAGAAAATTGTAGCTATTTTCTTAAAATGACATTTCCCAATTGATCTACTTGATTTTTTTTTGGTGGAAGGTGATATTGATTTTGTTTTTATTAATTCAATAAGGACAAATTATTACAAAAAAAAAACGATCCATATGTTCGTACTCTCATTCATCTATAAAATATACATATGTGAAATTTTCAGTTAAAGAAAATATGTTAGAATAGAACTGTAAGAATGACTAAAATAAGTTTTGAATGGATTTTATTGATATTTGCTATTTTATTATCAATTACTAATGTACTAAATATTAAAGGTATTGATGATGGTACAGATTGTGCTAGTTATACTATTATTGTTGATCTTGTTGAAAAATTATCTATTGTTTATAATGAAAGTATTGTAAATTCTCTTGAACGACTTTGTAATATATTACCAACTTAATTTAAGAATGAATAGAAGTAACACTTCGTGATAGTTCATGACGAGGAAAAGATTGTAATAATTTTTCATCAACAATACATCCTGATGCTCGAGTTGTTGATGATGATAGTATTATAGATGATAATTGTAATGGTATCTATGGTATGAATTCAGAAAGTGGAAGACCATATGAAGAAGAATTTTGTAATGAAACACAACGTATAGGTATAACAGTATTAGGTGATTCAATATCAGCTCATTTTCATCTTCCCGAACAATGGTTAGATGCTAAACAATTATTTGTAACTGAATTTTAGTTTTCTTTTTTTGTTTTGCTTATTATTTAAAAGTGCGAAAAAAAAACAAAAATTCTAAAAATCTAATTTATATTTCAAATTTTCTGTTGATAATAATAATAATCTATTCCATGTAAGCCTAAATAAGTTGGTCACTATTCCATATATATTTTATTGTAAAAAAAAAAAAAGACAAAAGTACGAAATAAAAAATCCATATGTTTTATTTCTCAGCAATCAATATTTCTTTCAAGGTGTGTATAATTGTGTGCAATTCACAGGATTATTTTCAGTCGAGAAGAATACGAACAATGATGAAAACAGTTATCAGCTGGATTAGTTTATTACTTGTTGTCTGTATACCATTAGTAGATGGTCGTTTCACTATTACTAATTTTAAAAATGGTGTTAATGGTGGTGTAGATTGTGCAACTTGTTCAGTTCTTTTAGGTATTGTTGATCATCTTACAATTGTTTATAATGAAAGTGCTGCTCAATCACTTGAACGACTTTGCTCATTTTTACCATCGGAATATAAATTGTATTGTAAAGCTGCAATTGATTTTTTAGGTTAGTTGATATTGTTTACATTGAATTTATATATATATATGATATATTATTCTAGGTCCATATATAATTGATGGTTTTATTAAAGGCGATAATCCTGATGTTATTTGTCATTCATTAAAATTTTGTACAGATGATCCTGATCAACCAAAATGTCGTCTTTATCCATCAAAAACTTCAATATCAGATGCATTAAATGCTTTAAATCTTCGTCAACGACATCCATTAATTATTTCACAATTAAAAGATTCAAAAATATGTCAAGTTCCTGGTATTAGAGAAATTTGTAAAATTCTAGAAAATATATTCAATAATCATATGCCAGCAGTTGATTTTGATCAAGATAAATTTGGTATAGAAGCAACACTTCGTGGTAGTTCATGGCGAGGAAGAGATTGTAATGATTTTTCATCAACAATACATCCAGGTGCTCATGTTGTTGATGGTGATAGTGTTATAGATCATAATTGTAATGGTATCTATGGTATGAATTCAGCAAGTGGAAGACCATATGAAGAAGAATTTTGTAATGATACACAACGTTTGGGTATAGCAGTATTAGGTGATTCAATATCGGCTCATTTTCATCTTCCCGAACAATGGTTAGATGCTAAACAATTATCCGTAGCTGCATTTGAACATTTAACATTCATTCTTGAAAATGAACTTGATTGGCCACAATTATCAGGTACTACAGGTCATTTTAATTTTAGTTGGCCAAATATTGAAGGTATTAAAAAAAAAATGTTTTGTATTATTAACATATTCATATGTTTATGTTTATAGGTCCAACACGTTCAATTTATGCTCGTTTATTTGAACTTGATCATTGTAATCATCGTGATTATCAAAATATTGCTGTTAATGGAGCTCGTAGTGGTTCTATGCTTGATATAATGAAATCTTTAGGACGTAATCCAAAAAATGATGTACCACTTCTTGTTATTTATTCATTAGTTGGTAATGATGTTTGTAATGGTCATCCAGATACTATTGATCATATGACAACAGTTGAAGAAATGAAAGAAAATGTTTTTAAAACACTTACATATCTTGATACAGTTTTACCAAAAGGTAGTCATGTTTTAACAACTGGTTTAGCTAATGGTAGTATGTTATATGATTTATTACATGATCGTATTCATCCATTTGGTCGTGTTGGTCCACCAATATCATATCCACAAATATATGATTATTTATCTTGTTTACAAATATCACCATGTAATGGATGGATGACATCAAATGCTACACTTCGATTTTTAACAACACAACGAGCTATGGAATTATCTGCAGCAATAAGAAATATTTCATATACTTATAAATCAATTCAATATGATATTGAATATCTTGATTTTCCATTTGATGATGTTATACAAGAATGGATTGCTCAAGGTGGTGAACCATGGCAATTAATTGAAAGTGTTGATGGTTTTCATATAAATCAATATGGACATGCAACTGTATCTGATGTTCTTTGGAAATGGTTACAAAAAAATAAACCACAATGGTTACCACCAATTAATCTACATAATGGAGATATTGAACGTGTTTTTAAAGATCAAGGTGGATACTAAACATTGACTAAAATATAAATTTAATTTTTTTTTTCTTTTTCATTATTATGAAAAATAAGAAAAAAAAGAAATCTAGCATCATTGCCAAAATATTTTGATTTTGTTTTTTTCATCACTAATAAAGATATATTCACAGTGTCTATTCATAAGAAATAATATTTGACAAAAAAGTGTTTTGTAGTGTTACATTTGACTCTCTGAACCTAGTACAACTATATAAGAGAGTCTCAACAGGAATTACAATGCTAGTATTTCGCTTCATTTTAAAGCATTATATCAGTTGGCTCTTGATAAAAGAAACATCGTTTTTTTGTCTTCGATTGATTTTTAATTATTTAAAAGATGGATGGACTTTATTTCGTTAAGTAGAATGTCTTAATTAACATTAATCATCGAATACTATGGAATCCATCGTTCATCTTCCTTTTTTTTGAAGGTATATTCACTAGAATCTATCGACTTGGTTCCAGATCTGACAAATTGTAATAATGAAATATTATCTCTTTATCTTTTCAACTAACATCTGTTATTCTAGAAAAAAAAACAATTTTTTTATATGTGAATCCATTGTTTATATTTATTTTTGAACAAACACTTGTAATATTACATTGCCAATGGGTGGTTAGTGCTTAACTGCATTCTTTTTTTTATAAAAGAAAACATATGCTTATTGTCGATTTTGTTCATATTATAAGTGAACATGTGCATTCCATTAACCTCATTTATCATGTCAATCAATTTGCCTTGAGATATAAATATAACGTAGAATTATAAAGATAGTAATACTTTAAAAAAAAAGAAATCATAATTTTTAAACATTTCATCATATAAATTATTTAATTTTGAATTATTTTTCAAATAATTAGATTTTTATTCTATAAGATATATAATATCTATCAAATGATCTTATCAAATCATTTGTATTACTTCGTTAAAGATTCTTCTATCAATTGATCACTATAATCAAGCATCTGGATGTGGAAAAAAAAATAAATAATTCCTTCGATCTAACGGTTATCTTTCTCATTTGAAAAAATGAGAGTAATACTCAATTTTTCTTTATTCATCAACATATTCACATCGATAGATAGTTTGTTATTTTAACATGACATTCGTTTTCTCATAATTCGAGAAAACAAATATATATATATATATTAACTCATTTAGATGAATATTAGTCAAACAGATGTTCATCATTATTTAGAAGATAGGATACAATTGAATATGTCCTTTTACTAATTGGTAATTTGTACTCATCAGATAAGATAATAATTCTGAAAAAGAAGTTTATATAAAACTATATTCAACAAGAGAAATTTCTCAATGATTCTAACTTTGCTAAAAGAAAAAAAAAAAAAACGGTTAACCTTCTGCATTTGTTTATACAATGAAACAGAACAGCTTCTTCATTTATAGAAAAAACAACACATATATATGTCTATCTCTATTGAGAATAAAGGCGTGTCTGATGAATAAAAAGCTAGAAAGTTCGTTAGTGAACAAATGCGGTATAATCTTTGATAGTCATATCACTTTTCCAGTTGTTCTACACATGTTTCTATTCAACAGTATCAATTGGAATGAACATGCTACTTTCTTTCTTTTCATACCGACGAACAAACTCATTCATTCTATTCAATGATATAATATACAATAGAATATGTGTATATATGAAGATATATTTAAGGTTTGAATATTATTACAAATAGAAACAATTCTATTTTTCTTGAGATTATATATTTCATGACAATAGAATGATGAAATTATTTGTCTATCGTTCATTTTTATGTATATACATATATAGAATCATAATAGAAGAGATAGATACAAAAATTGTGTTGCATAAGATATTATGGTAAGAGTATTCTCTCTAGACACTTTTTTCAAATATCCTGTCTATAGGATATTGGATAGTGTCGCACGAAACTATCGAGAGTTTTTTTTTCTTCTTCTTTGATACAGATTATCGGAAAATTCGTATTATCTATTTTTCATCTGAAACTTTGTGCATATGTGAGAACTCATCATTGATAGAAGATTTTCGAACGATGACTAAATTCTTTTTTTTGTTTTTTTGTTATAGATTAAAATATGCATAGAATATCTTTTGCCATATTAATTTATTTTATTATTTTAACGGTGGATTCAATTCCATCTATACATTTACATTCAAATTTAAATAAACATAATAAAATTCATACACGTTTACATCGTCGTGAATTAGTACAAGAAGAAGTACGAAAAACTATGTTAAATTATATGATAAGTTTAAAAGGTGAAATAACTGATATTGTTATTGAAGAAATGATTGATTATTATAATAATCAACGTATGAAATTATATTATTTAGAAAATGAATTATTTAATATTAAAAATTTATCATTACCTATTCAAAATATAAGTCAATTAATAAATAATTTTATTTTACATTTATCATATGAACAAAATTTATTTGCATTAAATATAACATTAATGGAATATAAAATAAAAAATTTAACAATTATTTTAAATAATTTATTAAATGATATACATCAACAACAAAAACCTATTCAACATGTTAGAAGACTTGTTTCAATAAAAAAAGATTTTCAACATCAAACACCAATAGGTTAATATTTTTTTGTTTATGTCATACCAGAGGTCCAAACAGGCCACGTTTTTTAGGCCTGTCAAGTTTTTCAAGCGAGTAGAATAATAATGACAGACTAGAAACCAGAGGCCCAAACAGGGCACTAGGGCTATTGCTCAACCTGATCCTGACCTGCCTGTCATGGGTATCACAGATGGTTTTCGGACTAGTGCAAGTCAGAGGTCCAAGCATTTTTTGGCCTGTCACTTGCACTAGTCTGAAAACCATAGGTGATGCCTATGGCAGGCGGG